GCATCTACATCTGTATCTATATCTATGTAGCTATATCTATATCCATATCTACATCTATATCTTGAGTTTTTTCCGAACCCAGGATCCTTTGGCTAAGGACGGGGGCGCCTAGGGTTGACACTTGCTGGCATCGCATCTTTGGTAGAGTATAACCTGTAGCTGTAGTAGTTCCGAACGAGTAGGTAGCTTGCAGGAAACCCTAAACCCTAAACACTGTAAAAGGCAAGATCACAAAGTCACCCATGCCCAAGGTTAGGGCAGCGCCGGGTTGATGCTAAAACCAAATTTCATGTAATCCCAGACCTACCCTTGCTCAGAACCCCCTTCCACTCCCCATCCGCCCCCCGCCCCCCCGCCCGAAATTGAAGCGCCGAGCACAGCTCTATGGTTTCAGTCCCCCCCCTCCCCCGGTCAGACAGCTCCAGCGGAGCCTTCTGCGAACCAGCAGCCTGCTTTTGCTGGAGCCTCCGCTGCGACACCACAGGGCTTCAAGTTGCAAGAATGGGGGATTTAAGGGTTTAGGGTTTCGGATTTAGGGTTTAAAGATTTAGGAAATTTAGGGTTTAAGGATTTAGTGTTTAAGGATTTAGGGTTTAGGGTGGGTTACTGCAAGGTTTGCTCCAGGGGTTACTGTAAGGGTACGAAGGACACCACGAAGGTCACTACGAACACTAGCAATCATAGACGGAGGCCGCAAGTACAGTGGAAAGGTCTTAGTGACAATGAGAAAACCAGCAATAGCAGTAATCGCGGGCGTACACATACCTTTCCTCGGGAGTAGGCTGCTCCCTCATTTTTAATTCTTTGGATGTACACCATCATTCACTTCCTCATTATCACCAGCATTACTTTCTTCTGCATCAAAATCATAACTAATTTTCTGCATCATCGCAACCATCATGACCTGTCAACATCAGCATCACCAGCATCAGCAACAGCAACACAGGAGGTTTTTGTTGGAAGCTTGGGGCGAACACATCGTCTAGAGTACTGGACATTAGTCTCCTGTGTGTTACTGTCCTCTGAAGTAAGCGAGGCATCTGATCTGCACGGTCGTTTGTTGAAAGGTCTTTGGAGGGGAGGTTGCAGCAATCGAAACCAAGTCTTTAAGCCTCCGCCATGCATGCTGCGTGCTTCGACATGCCTTGCCTGATCTGCAACCACTCCCCTTCCCAAAGGCGAGTCTCGAAGACGACTCGTACGTGGTCAGGGTGGAATAAGTACAGACGATTCACAGAAAGACAGAGGCAGGGGGACACAAGCAATGACAGAAGGAGATTCTGAAACTGGCCCTTTCAGGATCGCTGACGGTCCTGGCAAACGTGTCGGCCACGCAGAACGAAGTTTTGCAAGGCTCAGGCCCTCGCACAGAGAACCCCGAACAGGGGTGTATGAGATGGCATTTCGAACAGGGGTGGGAAATTTGCAGGGTTCAGGCCCTCGCACAGAGAACCCCGAACAGGGGTGTATGAAATGGCACCCCGAACAGGGGTGGGAAATTTGCAGGGCTCAGGCCCTAGCACAGAGAACCCCGAACAGGGGTGTATGAGATGGCACCCCGACCAAGGGTGGGAAATTTGCAGGGCTCAGGCCCTAGCACAGAGAACCCCGAACAGGGGTGTATGAGATGGCACCCCAAACAGGTCTGTCTACGCTTCATTAGATAGGTGTGCCCCGCGCCTCACAGGCTCGATGCCAGATGCCAAAGTGCCAGGACGGCTTTACGTGTTCGGGCATGAATCTCGAATCCTATCTTTCGGACCCTGATATCCCTAAACCCTGAAACATCCTAAGACCCTAAATTACTAAACCCTGAACACCCGAACCGTTGTGAAGCCTCAGAAGGAGCAGCTTCGCTCGCTTCCCGCCTCCGCGGCCACGTCAGCGATTTTCCAGGGCCGCGTGGTCATGACTTCGTGGGGTTCAAGACCCTTAAGGGTCCATGTACTCGTGCAGGGAATTACATAGGAGTTGGGCTTTGGGATTTATAGTTTAAAGGTCCATGTACGCATTCGGTCTACGCTTTGGCCTCAAAGTACTGTTCCTGTATGGGTTCTGATTGGTCCGAAGGTTTCAAAGCTCACTGACTTGGGATCTAGGTTTGGGGGTCCATAGAGTAGGGTTTAGGGGTTCAGGGCTTCAGGGGTTTAGAGTTTGGGGTTTAGGTTATTGCATTATCATAATCCGATGAACATGTCAAGTTTTCCAATTCCTCGGGTTAGAGTGCTTATGCAACTTCTCTTGTTCGTGTCCTTACATCTCATGCTTTGGAAGCTTGCAGCAGCATCAATGGCGCCTCTACGGATGCAGTGCATCCATTTCGGGCTGCATGGTATGCTGAAGGTGTAGAACTCCAGAACACATATCGGTTACAAGGGTTTGGGAGGAAAAGCCTCAAGAGCTACGGGGAACCCGAGAAGCTTAGGCCCCCAGACCCCCCAAACTTCAAGCCTATCCTACCATCCGATCCTCGAACCCCGGATAACTGTTGTCGGAGTCATTCATACCCACTCTTCAGTCATGTAAACCATGCAGACTGGGCAACTTTAATTAACGGTCCTGTAGACAAACAACTAAACCGTCTATGTCGAACACCCTATTTCAGACCATCCTCAAAGTCTCTCCGAAGCCTTTCCTTCTCTCGGGTGCCGAGGTGACATTCGAAAGAGCCCGCCCTAACCTTAGCTGCCTGGGGGCTACGGTCTAGGGATAGACGGATCCGGGTTTACTCTGCACCCTAAGCCCTACCCCCAATATCAGGGTGATAGACTTGTAGGTCCTAGGTGCACTCCTTGACTTTCTACTCTTTGTAGAAGACACTTGGGGAAAGTTTTAGCACTGTATGGGCTCTGGGACACTTGGGTTCCCAGATAATTAAGGGATAAGCATAAACTCAGATAGCGACGTATTTCAAGCTGAACTCCCTAATTAATGGCTAGGTCTAACGATCTGACCTAGAGCCTCCAGTAGCATAGTTCCTTTTCTTGGTTCAACCATGGTTCAGGGTTTAGGGTCTAGGGTTTAGGGTAATTCGATACTTACGACCCTATAAGGTCACCAAAAACAGAAGCACAACGCAGACTATTATCGGTAGTATGTGTCCCTTTAAATTAAAGGATCCTGACTCCGCTGAGTTGCAGTCATCCTTGTAAGGGCCTCGCGGGATAGGTGTGAGGCTTCTGGGTCCAGACGCGGGTGTTTCCATCGATTCTTTCTGTTGCTACGTGTTATAGTTATATTGCCAGACATCATATATGTATAGACACACAGACATACCTACTTACATACATACATATATAGATAGCACATAAGTACCCACAGATGTCCAGATATGCACATAGCTCTCTCTCCCTCTCTCTCTCTCTCTGTCTCTCTCTCTCTCTCTCTCTCTCCTACTGCAGGCATGCACTTCGAAAGCTCAGCTCATTGCTTCACAAGTTTGCAGACCGCAGCTACCCTCGCAAGAGTTTCGGTCAGATTCAGCATTGGCTGAGATGGAGCAATTGCTCTACGACAATGCTCGGACAGTAGCAAGTCGTGCCGAGGTACTCTCAGCATCCACCAACAAAGATAGCGTTCCGCTGTTTTGCATGGAGGCGTGGCAGAAAATCGCATGGTGAACACGTCCATACTATGCATGGCTCTGACCCTGGCATGTTTGAGAACTGCTTTTGTTTTTTGCAGAAGATACCTGGACTCTAAGCAACCTACATTTTGCGGCTTCCTTATCATGATGTCCTTATATATACATGTATTTATTTATTTATCTATTTATATTTGTATTGTATGTGTATATACATATATATATATATATGTTGTTTCAAACGTGGATTTCGGGGGGGGGGGTAGGTAGACTTTAAACATACCGGCCACAATGCCTCTCACGATCACCGAGCAAGATACATTGGAGGATGTAGTACTAGGGGTCTAAATCTGGTGGCTCCCTCTTATAATTACCGTACGCTACATATATATACATATATATATGTATACATATATATATATATATGTACATACACTCTCCATGGCACAAGGACCGATCAGCGACAATATCGGGCGGTCGAGCCGGCTATGGTTTGCCAGAACTCGGGCAATCGCAAGTTCAAGCATTGCAGTCGCCATTGTAGTTCTTGCTTTGCGAGGACTCGACTACGAACAATCTGCTCACCCGTTCGCCCGTAAAAAGCAAGGAGCTACAACGGACACTATACATGCTTCGAGGCGTTTCGGCTAGCAAAGAGCCCTAACCCCTAACCCCTAAACCACTAAACCCCAAACCCTTGAAGGAAGCCTTACAGGAACCCCTAAAGGCTCCCTTATAGGATCCCTTAACGATGTTTTCCAAACCCAAGCAACGAGTCTTGCTCTCGGCCAGCTCTCCTTAGCTAACGGGCTCCGCGTCCTGCTCGTCAGCGACGCGACGGCTGCTCGACACTGTCAATGTCAGAGGTAACGTTTAAAGGAGTAGGGTTTAGGATTCTCGAGGTTTGGGGTTTAGGGATTGGGATTCAGGGCTTGCAAGGCTTAGGTTGATTGGATGAGCAAGACGAAGGGTTCTAATACAGGGGCCTTCCGAATGACCCAGACATACCCAGACTATTTGGGTGGGGGGGGTCCTTATTATTGTAATTATTGCTGCCCAAACGCTGTTCTAATCATTAAGGCTCCTACGTTTGAGCTTGCCCTTTTCAGTCAAGCGTCCTGACGGCCCTGTAAAGAATCGCACGGCTTGTTGATGGTCTGCGGCTCAGAGCTCAAGCTTGCCAAGCCTTCTCGGGGATTGAGCAGACTCCCTGCACGTCTAAAGTACATACTAAGCATAAAAAGATATCAGTTACTAGAAACAAGCCTACCTTCCCAGGCATGGGCCCTAGGGGCTCCAGTACCCCATATAGTAGGTACCTGGCAGGTTAAGGGTAATACTGTATCGTGTATATAAAAAAAGGGAAGACGGGATTCAGACGTGGGCGTGTATGTGATAGTTCTCCAGCTCCCAGGCCATGTCTGAGCCAAAAACGTATGCATGGCATTGGGTTTCCAACTTGGCGTTTTTGTCATGCAGCTCCGCTTTGGCTGGTGCCTTGGGTGGCACTCCTAGTAGCACTTCGTTGGCACTTGCCAGCGCTTCACTGGACCCAACTTTATCGTGTGTGATACTCGGTTCCTTGGCCACGTTCTCTGCTTTTTGGTTCAATGCTGCAGTTTCCGAACAAGGGGCTGCAGAAGAGCCGGCCAACCTCGAGGACACGGGCGACCTGGCTGTCCGGCAGGACGTGCAAGTGGACCAGGAGTGCTGCGATGCCGTTGGTGGCACTGGGAACGCCATCGACCATCCGGACACCATCGCACTGCCGGACCGCCATGCTGCAGGATCTCCTGTGCGCGCACGCCCCAGTCTCACCGGGCAAAGTCTTAATGCTCAGAGCTTCAGAGCAATCAGCCGGATTGGAACTGGCAGCTGGGGTATCGTTTCACTCATGCAGCACCAAGCCGGCCCGACTTACGCAGTCAAGCGCATCGATCTGAGCCACTTGAAGCCGAAGAAGAAGGCCAAGATCATGCGAGAAGAGGACATCCATCTGAAATTGCACTCACCGTTCTTTATCCGCTTGTTCGGGACATACCTCCACGAGCAGGCCATCCATTTCGTAATGGAGCCTGGCGTTTGCGATTTGTGGATGGTTTATCAGCGGCACAAAGAGTTTTTCCGCAGCCAGAAACATGCAAGCTTCTATGCAGCGAGCGTGGTTTGTGCACTCCAGTATTTGCACGAGAAGGGCATCGTCTATAGAGACCTGAAACCGGAGAATCTACTGCTTGACGAACATGGGTCCTTGAAAGTATGTGACCTGGGCTTTGCCAAGCATGTTGAGGTCACGGAGAAGACTTACACATTCTGCGGCTCTTTGGGCTATTTGGCACCGGAGATTATCAGCAAAAGCGGACACAGTCATGCGGTTGACTGGTGGGCGCTCGGAGTTTTGATCTTCGAGCTTATGGCTGGACATCCGTGTTTTGGCACGGATGAGCCCGAGGTGGTGATCTATGCCAGAGTGCTGGAGGGCGCTCACCCGGGGCTTTTTCCCCCGGTGATGTCGACCGCGTGCCGGGATCTCATTCTGGCCCTGTGCATTCCAAATCCAGCACAGCGCTTGCCGATGCGTCCTGGTGGTTTGGATTTGTTGAAATCTCATGCCTGGTTCGAAGGCTTCAGATGGGATTTCAACATGGAGCCACCTTACAACCCAACCCACGATTTGCAGCGACGACGATGTGGGTAACTTTCAGCTCGACAAAGCCATGCACAGCCCTCTCTCTGCATGACATCTTCCGCGGCTGGCAGTTTGGACTTGCGCGCGTTCAAACAGGCACCGCAGAAGGCCGCGCGCAGCCAAAACGCACAGCTCAACCCACATCATGTTTAGGCTCCTGTTGATAACTTATTGTCATTATGAGTATGGTAATGCTTAGTAGTTGGCCACGACGGTTGCTTCACACTGGATTGTTGGGGCGATTTGTACGTCTCAATCAATCCAGCAACCTTGAGCTTTCTTGTCCGACACGCTGTTTTCTTTCAGCTACAGTTTTGGTGCGATTTGCAAGTCTAGACCTAGGAACCTTGAGCGGGCTAGTTGGACACGCGGCGGAAATCCTAGTTGGGTGTGAGCAAGAGCGAGCGAGAGAGAGAGAGAGAGAGAGAGAGAGAGAGAGAAAGCGAGAGAGAGAGAGAGAGGCAGAGAGCGAGCCACGTAAAGACAGACAGAGAGCGAGATCGATACCAGAGCAGCAGAGGGGGAAGGGGAGACCGAGACAGAGACAGAGAGAGAGAACAAGTGTGTGTTTGTCAGTTCATAGGCATGTATTTACACAGGCGGACAAAGAACTATCTACGTACGAATCTTCGCTGAAGCTGCGGCAGAACAGCTGCACCAGCTACATACATGTCGGCTCACACCAAACTCTGATCCGGTAAGCGCTGCCCTGTGTGCCTGTATGTGCTTTGTCATAGTATGTGATCGTGCAGATCAACCCGACTTCCCAAACATCCTACGTACCCGAAAGCCCAACAACAGACTACACCCGAAGGTCCTGGGCTTTAGGTCTTTGGGCAGAGGGCCCCTAGAGCTTTAGGGTATCATGGGCTTTTAGTGCTTGAGGAGTTTAGAGATCGCCCAACCTGCAAATAGACTCTTACCCAACTTCCTATATGCGCCAAACCCCTAAACCCTAAGCCCCGCAACCCTAAACCCAAAGCCCTAATCCTCATCTCGCAACTTCAAGGCCACAGCCTCTGCTGCGGCGCTATCGGTGCATGCCGCACCGGCGAGAGTGTTGCAAGAACCAACGAGGAATCCCAGTTGGATCCTAGTGGGCTATTTTGCTACACCCTAAAATTAAACTTTAAACGCTCTAAACCCTGTTTCAGATCTAGGTGTAGTGCTTTTCTCACAATATTTCTGCGTGTGTGGTACAGCTCAAGTAAGATGCTCAGCCGGAAGCATCCCCAAACACTGTGGCTGCTGGGTCGTTCAGGTGTTTCAGGTCTTGCTTGTCATGGTTTAAGGTTGTTGCGGTTTCATGTTGATTCTCTTGTGCGTAAAGGCTGCTAAGGGTCGATCGAAGATCTCGTGTTCAGGGTGTAAAACGTTTGCGGTTTAGGCCTTGAAATTACTGATGTACAGGGCTTTTGCTATGGAGTCGAAGCTTTCAGAGGCCTCGGGTTTAGGGTGTTTAGGGTTTAGGGTGCTCCGGCAGGGTTTGCACATTGCCTTCAATGGCCCGCGTCATTTGATGCCTCACGCGCGCCGACCTTTGGACTCGACACATGCTCCCAACAAAGCACCCAAACCTTAAAGCCTTCCTTTATAGATCCACGCCACATGGATCCTTTAAGGATCCCGATAAAGGAACCCTAAGCACAAACTGTAGCAAGGTTAAAGTACAAATTCTCAGTGACAGGACCAAATTGCTCGGAGCCCTTAAGCCGTAAACCCCTGCCAACCCAAGAACTCTGACCTCTAACTCCAATTCACAACTCCAAAAGCCAAAGCCCCATAACCCCAAAATCCCAAACCTTAACACCCTACACCATGAAACCCGCAGCCTAAACCCGAAACCCTGAGCCCTAAGCCTTCAAGCCTACACTCTCAACCCTCAGACCATTGTAAACCCTCGTCCTGCGAACATTTAGGGAGCGTTAGGAATAAACTTATACAAAAGTCCGTGAGTTCCCTGAAACCCCCCAAAACTCTTATGCTCAAGGTAGGAGCCTGGCTAGCTGGACTCGAGTTCGGCGGTATAAGAAGACCACATCCTACGCAAGAAGTCATTGCCAGGCAGGCTTTTACCTGGATCCGCCCGATTTGCCGGGCCTTGCACATCTTTGCCGGGAACCTCAGACATGGTTGGGTGAGAGTTGTCACTGGTATATATGATGGCTTCTCAAGAACGAGGGTGCCGGGTTCCGAGGTCGGTTGAGGGTTCTTTTATGCTTAGCTATAGTGATTTAGAGTCATTAAGAGCATTCGCTCCGCCAGTATCGGTATTGGTTTAGACTGGCTTGCCTCCCGTCCCACCGATGTAAGCACGACTTGTTCTTGTAGCTTGTGTCTTCATTGAACAAAAAACTTTGCTGTAAGTGAGGGCATCAAAGAAACTGCCAGCCCGAAGCTCCAAGCAGAAACGGATTTGGGTTTAGGGTGTAGGGAAGTCTCAAGAGTCATAAACTCTGAAGATCGTTTGGTACTTCGTTTCCTGCGCCTGTGAGCAGACCAGACAGCCACCTCACCTGATCACACTTGGCCCCAGGCAGCACCGGATTCGAGCATGAAATCCCGCGTAAAGAAACCTTGACTTCCAGCAAACGAGAAACTTCTTCACTCACGTCCTCAACCCCTACACCCTCTTGCAACACTTGCATAAACCCCAAGCCATGAACGCCGTAGCCTAAGCCCAGAGCCCTAGGCCCACCATATGCACAACATAAGTACACATACATGCATGCATACCCCGAACCCTGAACCCTAAAACCCTAAACACATACATACACAGACAGCCCAACCCAAAGTCTTGACCCGAGAAGAGGGTAACCCTAAACCCCAACCCTAAACCATTAAACCCTAAACCCAAACCCGCCAAACCCTAAATAAACCCCTAAACCCCAAACCCCTGAACCCTGAACCACTAAACCCTAAACCCAAACCCGCCAAACCCTAAACCGCTAAACGTAAGGTGAGCACATGCTCTTCTTGGGAACGAAAGACTACCCGGAGGAGCCTCTTGCAGTGCAAGGATCCCTGTTTGGGAATTGGGGGTTTAGGACTTAGGGGTTTAGTGTTGCGGGCTTAGGGTTTAGGGGTTTAGGGTTTTTTGTTCAGGAATTGTGGCCTTCAGGGCTTCAGGGAGTAGAGTTTGGGGTTCTAGGAAGTTAGGGTATTGAGTTTAACAATGAAGACACAGGGCTTAGGGTCTCGCAAGTTCTTCCTGTTGAAAAGAAAGTTAAGACTGCTTGCAGGTTGTGTATGCATGCATATATGCATACATCCATACACCCATACACGCACATGCATCAACAGTACACACGACATGCAAGCACACTTCGTTTAAGCTCGAGAAGATTGGCTGACTTTCTTTCTTAGACTATCCAGATCAGAAGCTTAAACATTTAGTAATGCCATTTCCTTAGGGGGTTCCTCAACACAACCATAGTCTAATAATCTAATCTTTCCTCGGGTTCCTTGAGCAACATACGACATATACTCTGATATATCCCTGGGTTCCTTTTTACTCTGTAATATGTCCCCTAAAGCCCTAAAGCCCCAGGCTAATGACTCGGACCAATCTCTTGAGAGTTGCAGTGCGAGGACGGGTGTTCTGGTTAAGTCTACGTCCTGCTTTGGGCTTCTGGGTTTTGGGTTTAGGGTTCAGGGTGCACGGCTTGGGGTTAAGGGTTGAGGGTTTGTGTAGGGTGTGGGGCTTAGGGTGTATGTGCCGAAGCTTGTGTACGGAATGGCTGAACAGGGTTGAGCAAGGCTCAAAGGGAGGCAGATGTTGAGGCGCTTTGGGTCCCAGACCACACTAGATGAAGCCTTTTGAAGGCTTTGCAGTTATGACTCATGACATCTTGTCACTTTCCTGCAGGGGTGACAAAGTTGTTTCAACAAGCTTCCATTTGTTGCCAGGTGTGGCTTTCTGCTTGTGTTGCAGTCTGTGGGGGAGCTCGCATCTTATTGCTTGAAAGGGCTCACGTCATGACGCGCCCGGTTGCTGCTAAACTGCGAACCCATGGCCTGTTTCCGAGGTAAAGTCGACACTATTTTGAGGGTTCCGTACAATACTTATAGTAGGAGGGGCCCCCAAATCCTATTCTATGTTACGAGATTGAAGGCATACTGAACAAACTAGCTTAGCTTGTGGTAGCTCATAAGCAGCTACGCTTTCCAAGGATGCAATAGACATCTTCAGCTTTGTTCGCCTCAGACGCATGTCCGATCCGCCCCAAAATCCTATTCTAATTATTACGGCCCCTATTTTATAGATCCTTATAGTAACCCCTATAGACCCCTTTAGAGGAACTCTATACTAGCTATTAAGGCTCCTATAGAGGTAAGGTCTCGCGTTGTGCTCAAGTCGATTCGGCGTTGCTGAGGAACTCCTTTCGCCTCTTCCTGTCGGACAAAGGTGGCAGTTGGAGACTTAGCAGCTTCTTGCAGTGATGTAGGGGCCTTAAAGAATTACCTAGACTATTTTTGGAGTTCCATACTATGGTTATAGCATAATATACCCAGCAGCTTCTCGCAGCAATGTAGTAGGGGCCTTAAACTATCTTGGAGAAGGGGTCCATATGGGCTACGATGAGGGTAACTATAGGGATTCAATATAGGGGCCTTAGGAATTGCCTGTACTATTTTGGAGTTCCATACTATGGCTATAGCATAGTATCGCCCTAAAACCCCATTCTAGTTATTAAGGCCTCGACAGCAATCATTGGCCCAAAGGGGTGATAGGGGCACCTCCAGCAAGATACGGTAGATGTGCGAAAGACTAGCAAAGACGGTAGCCAACAGATGTATGCAAGCTACTGCCGACGATGTCGAAGATGAAGATGGTGATGAGGATGCTGCTGGAGGGTTCAGGGTTAAATTATAATGTTGATACGGATGGATCATGCTACAGGTGTTGCCACGAAGCGAACTGGCAGAATGATGTTGTTGGGGTATTGTCAACGTCGTTGTCTTGCGATTCGTCCTCACATACCTCTGCGGTTGACGCCAGGAGAGGC